GACTGGGGAAATGGGCACTGTGAGCCTGACACAGAAGCTGGCAGCAGTGGCAGACAACCAAGTGCATTTACATTAGATAGAAAAAAAAAATCCAAAAAAAGCATACCCTTATCCCTAACCTAGCTATGCTTTTCCCTATCTTATGAACAGCAGCTACACTTTCCCTCCTCTTACTAAGCATGCAGCTTGAGAATGAATCTTAAATGGATGCTGTCCAGTAGGTGGGAGGGTCTGCTAGGGAGGCTGTGCTGCTAATTGGCTGGAATGTGTCTGCTGACTGTGAGGTACAGGGTCAAAGTTTACTCAATGATGACGAATAGGGGGCGGGTCGAACCGCGCATATGTTCGCACGCCGTGGCGAACGCGAACATGCTATGTTCGCCAGGAACCGTTCGCCGGCGAACCGTTCGGTACATCACTACTAGCAAGCCAGTACAAGAACCCTGGGTACAAATAATTGCATCTTTATTGTTATTTAAGTATTTCTCCAAAAGATGGTGAATAATCACCTCTTCCTAGCACCCCGGCTAGAATTGATACACCTTCAAGCAGAGGAGATGTTGCTAGTCCTGCAGCAATCAGATCCTGGACGATCCCACACATTACCACCGACCTAAGGAGGTGATAAATCCCCTACCCTGCTACAGCAAGGAAAGCAGAGTTATTCAAACTCCTCCATACATCAACGGACAACACGGAGGCAGGGGAAGGCCCAGCTACATCAACTCAGGTGACACCCAGGCTATGCTAGCCTCACTCATAAACTCATGAGCCCAAAATTTTTATGACAGACTGGCAATCTCGAGTTGGTCACCACAGCCCTCACAAGGCTGGGCCTCACGTTACTGTACAACCAGCACCAACCGAAACTCTGTTACCTGGTACAATCAATTCTTATGACACACAAGATGTTAACCCTGCACGTATGATCTCAGCACATTGGGGAAGCAAGGCATATATATGTATGATGATGATGTATCTGTGATGGTCAGATTCAGGGATTCCAGGTAAATCGGGAACTGACCATCTCTTGGATGGGTTGGTATTTGGAATATGTAGAGATGTTTATTTGTGCAGGTACCCATACAGAAGGGGTTCTGTCCCAAACAAACGGATGAGCACTCAGGCTCCAGGTACCAGCACCTCTGAACTACCAGAGACGATTGATATGAGTAGTTGCATTGCATATAGACTGTTGCATATATGTTCAAATGGTTCAGGGCACATGACAAACCATGTGGCCCAATACAACTTACAAATAACGTACTCACCATCTGTACACACCAATGCATTTTCAACACTACTGACTCATAACCCTTCCAGACTTGTAGTAGATTTACTAAAGCTCTGGAGCTTCAAAGGGCTCCCATACAGGTATCAAACACACCTTCAAGGAATATAGCATGCCCTCACTTACAGTCAGCACAACAAAACCATTGGCTGAAAACACACTCATAGCCAAGATTTGCAGAGTGGTCTTCCAATCTCCACCATTTACAGCATGGCACCAAACACACACATTGGTATTGTCACAAGGAATCTTCCCTTAAACAAAGACTAACCATAGACTTATTGGCACCACACACCTCCGCTACCCCAAGTCTCAACTCCCTTCTTACTATACAGCACCATTGATCTACCTTTACAGCTATCACTCAAGCATGGGTTAAAGCTTGGTTAAGTAAGACCAATATCATCAACGCAGTAAACAGCTACCATCTACCCTACACACTGGCACTTACATGGCATAAATTGGGCAATCCTTTCCCTGCTCAACTTTCGAGCTACAGATTAACCTACTATCGATATTCGCAGATACTCTGTGCTGGTTATGATAACATATCCAGAGGCATTACAGTCATACACTATCTAGAAGATTTCTTGTTGCTCAAAGAAAGCATAATTTTCACTAGAAGCCTCATGGCAGCTTAGTCTGGTTGACCACTTGGGCGTCCCAGTACCCCATAAGAAACAGAAGGCGTAGACACTATCATCACATTACTGGGCATATGACTTGAGTTGGCAACCATACACGCAAGTTACCACAAGACAAATAGGGAACATTCTCAACTAAATCAATCACTACCTCCTGCTTAGTACTTACAACTACAAGGAACTACAATCCCTACCAGGTTCCTTAATTTTGCCATGCCAATCATACCACAAGACCACGCTTTCACATCCAGAGTACTTTCCCCTTTTTTCCACACTTCCAACATGACGATCAGAGGAGGTGCCTAGACACCTCAGCAACAGCAGACCTGCACATGGGGGGGGGGATTTCTTAACCACTTGGCATGGTAAAAGCATGTTCCTTCCAGGATTGTCTGACACTTCTCCAACCAGATGGTCAGACGCAGCGTATACCACGGGTTTGGCAGCGATCTACCGGGAACAATTGCTTTGGGGCTGCTGGCCATGGCATCCAGGTTTGGAAATTTTTCCACCACTTCAGCCCCTTTGGGAGATCTACCCCATTGTAGCAGCTGCTGTGGCATGGGGTAAATCATGGTCAGGGTCATCAATCCGTTGTTACTCAGACAACTAAGCACATATCATATCAACAAACGCCACTACTCATCCATAAGTTCATGATGTTTCTGGGGAACTCACTTGGTTGGCCACTTATCACATTT